GACTGTTGACCAATTGGAGGTAATCAAGTTGATTCTTCCCACTTACATAATTTTGTATAAAAAATTATATTTACAAATATTTTTAAGATCTGGCTTCTTTTGTCCTTTTCACAACCTTTACGCATGAATCCACTGTATCTAACAGCAAAAAAGCTTCAATGGGCCCAACACACAAACAAACAAAACATATGAATAAAGAATGTTCTAAACCGGTCATACCAAAACCCGGTCTAAGCAAACGACCATTACCCGCCAAGGCAAACTTTTCAACGGAAACTAAAGACGTTGAAAGCTCCAAGGAACATTAACTTAACCGGAAACAACAGAACAACGATCAAAGGCATATGTTGAGACGCAACAAGGCGGCTAAACCTCTGCAACGACTTTCTTCCTGTCTTCATCATCCCGGAGAAATCCTGACCGTTGATTTGTCCGTTACTAATCGCGGTACCAGAGCTCGCGCGGTCCCTAGTCACCAGAATCGGCCACCAGAGACTTTGGCGATGCTCCCTCTTAGCTTTCCTTATCTGAGTCACTTCTTTTCTTATCACACTCCTAACCGATTTCAGATACGAGTTCATATCGTGGTCCCTTTGGATGCTTCCGTTAGACCCGTAAGCGGATCTGTCGCTAAGAATGTCAAGAGGATGTGGCGTGTTCAAGAAAACAGTCTGTGCAGCTATTAACCTTCGTTCCTCCTCTGATTCCGATTCAAAATCGCCGGTTAGAAGATATAAACCGTTTCCAGGAGGAAGAAGTTCGTGTCCAGGAGAGAATGTCTCATCCGGTTGAAGAATCAGAAGCTCGCCCATCGGAGAATACAACATACTCTGCAAAAAAAACGACGTTAACTACGAGAATTCTGCAACATAGCTACAGAATCTATGATGAAATGTAGTTGTAGTACCTGTTTGTTAAGACAAGGATGGCTACGAAAATTTCCATTAACAGCTTTGAGAAGCTCGGCGACATGATACGGATAGTTACAAGAAAAAGCTCTCGGGACAATGTCCCGGTGCATTGTGATAGCTTGAACATGACTTTTAGGCAATCCAAGTTTTTTAAGAAGACGGTCACCTCCACATATTACAAACGGCGCACCAAATGTTATAACAGGAAGTAAAGAAGACGCCGGGACTTCGCCTCGAACCAATAACATTAGGTTGAGTAATAGCGATAAGCTTCCGCCTAATGAATGCCCCGTGAAACGGAATTTAGCGCGGGTCCCGTGGGTTTTTATATGGGCTTTAACTTCAGGTAGCATTTGTTCATACATTCCTTTTGCAGCTTCGTATATTCCTCTGTGAACAATCGCACCGAGTCCCTAATAAATCAAAAATTGTCAGTTCTAAATCGAACATTCTTGTTTCCGAAATCGTCATGAGGGATTGTAATGGAAAAATACCTCAAACTCAATAGGCTCAAAGAGTAGATTTGCTTGCCAAGAAGCTAGAGATTCAGATCCCTACAAGCAAATCTCATAGCATAAGAGAACGAAACCTCGAAAAAAAAACTGCAAATGAACCAGCTTTGAGCTTTCTTCATACCTGAATCACAACGAATCTGGTTTGACTCTGATCATCATCACATATAAACCAATCACAAGGAGACGAAATCGTCGATTTCAAATCGTCTGCAACTGCTTGTTTCACATCTTCCTCAGCAGCAACAACAGAAGTAACAGAGTTGGTTAAAGAAGCAACCTCTGGTGATGAAGACTCCACATTTGCCAAATTCTCATCGTTTTTGTCCGAATTCTCGGTTTTCGACGAAGAACTAAAAGGAAGTATGTTGTTGGTACGAGAATGAAGGTAAGAAGCAGCTGATGCAACTATCTCATATGCAGCAGAAGCACTAATCTTGTGACCT